AAAAAAAAAAAAAACTATGGAGTATATTCAATATATGAATATGTTAGCATCAATCTATCTACTTTATGCATGGATATGTTATTTCCAACCTGGGGCCATCCTAACTAATACTGCTATGAATATTATTGTAGATATACACAGACACATTTGTTTTGCACAATACTGAGGAATATAATTGCTGATTCATATAATGCATGTAGTTTCAGCTTTAATAAGTATTGTCAAATACTTTTCTATGTATCCTCACAAAAATGTTTGCTCCTACCAGCAATATTAAGAGTTTTAGTAATTCCACATCCTTTTCAACATTTAGTTTTGTTACTTTTTTTCTTTAATTTTGGCCATTCTAGGGAGTAAGCACTGGTAGCTCTTGAGTTTTTATTTGCATCTCTATCTACAGATTACTTGCTAATTGGGAAGGGGAAAATAGATCTTATGAGGGGGAGAATTAGCTGTCTCAACTCAGTGAACAAACATGGCCTTAATAACAGATTTTAGAATAAGATGTAACATGAAAAAGTCAACACTGAGTTGTCTTACCCAAAATGTTAAATGGAGCTAAGCAATCTTAAATTTAACTTCTACTTGTTGAAAATTACAGGGAACAGAAGAACAAAGTAGACAATAGCAAAAGGAAACAGAAAAATTCAGAATATGTAAAACTTGGTCCCATTTATCAAAAAATCATTGTCATGGGTAGAAAGGGGACAGGAGAATTAAGGCATCAAGAGATTTAAGAAACACACTAAATTTAAGTCATAATCCTTTAGTGGATTTTGGTTTCCAGAAACATCTACAAAAAATAATTTTAGGTTGAGAAATTTTGAAGATATACTGCTATGAGATTAGGCAATGATACTAAGAAATGGTTAATTTTATCAAGAGAGACTAGGACTATATACAGCAGAATAATAGTATTTTTTTAGAGATTCATACTATTTTTGGGTAAGATGTTTTTGTAACATTCTTTGAATTGTTTCAGGAAACATACAGATGAAAACAAATATGATAAAACATTAATTACTGAATCTAGGTCAGAGTATATAGCAGCAAATATATTTATCTCTTTACTTTTTAGTTATGTTTGCTATTTTATTAATAATAAAACATGTAAAAATGGAACTGAAGGGCTTTTCAAATGGTAGATTCTTAGAAAGCCCCTAGGCATTTCTTACAAAGCTTTAGGCATCCTCACAATGCTGTCCTGTTCTGCAAAAGGGACTCTTCTCAGGGACCTACATGTGTGTTTTCTCTGTCTTGAATACTCTTCCTCCACATATTCATGAGTTCCTTCCTTTGTTTTATTAAAGTTGCTTATCAGTTTGTCTTCTAAGGCTACTTTCTCACCTTAGTAGTTTTTTTTTCCCATTACCCTTAGCTCCATCTTATATTGTTCCCATACCTGCTGTGTATCTGTCTCCTATTACTAGTAAAATTAGCTCTGTGGAGACAAAAACCTGGTTGTTCACTTCTATATCCCTCAAAACCTAGAACTATATCTAGAACAAAGCAGGTACATGATAAAAAACATATTAAAAGCATAAATTCATATCAGTTAATATTTATTGAGCACTATAATGTAATGGGCTCAGTGCTATATAAGCACCTCATGAAACTTCTTTTAATATACTGAGCCTACTACTTTAAGTAGACATCTTATTATTATCCCTGCTTTACAATAAAAAAAAAATGGAGACACATAAAAGTCCAGTTATTTGCCCAGAGTTACAAAGAATTTAAACTAGGTTTTAAGATTCTTTAGCATAAACTCTCAATGTTATGTTAGTAATCATTGCATAGGGGGAAAAAATATGAAAAGCTAAGGTAATTATAATAGAAGTGTTTTATCACTCTTACTATACAAATAAAGCTTTATAAAACTGTAATATGAGTGTATAATACTATTTATGCAACTAGCATTAGTACTTTAGGGACCTTCAAACCTTTTACCTAAAGAGATACCAGAAAGGATGATTACGCAATCCCAGAATCAACATTACTGCCTTGCTGAGAAGTTTAAAAATTTATAAAAATAAAATGATTTGCATTGAATTCAATAAAGACTCATAGAAAAGTCTACTTTATCCTTCACAGAAAATATCTTTATAGGAGGCTCTTTAAGAATAATTTATCTTACCTCACACTAAACAAAATTATTTATATTTATATAACATTTTAACAATTTAAGACACTGAAACTCAGAAACCTACATGAGTTTTAATTCTCATACAAACCTGTTTCCAGAAACAAATAATTATAATTTTTTATTTAAAGGTTTTTACCTACTAGCAAAAAAAAAAAAAAAAGGCTTTAGAAAGTATTCTTTCCATTATCTGGCCAAAAAGCAGAACATACTTGGTTAAATCATACACATGTGGACCATAACATTATTTTCCTATTTGGTCTTATAAAAACTCTTACAAGTTAAGAGAGGTTTTCTCATTTCACAAATGAGAAAACTAAACTTGGAGAAGTTAATTTATTTGACTCTAGAACTAGAAGGAATAGAATTCAAGTCTTTTGACTCTTTACCCAGTCTATCTGCCATAGTCTTAGACAAGGTAATTTAAATTTAAATTGTAGGGTAGTTTGTAAACACATCAGTCACCTTTTTAGCATATTTATAAAATATTTAGAAGGTGTTTGAAATGAAAGTGTTCTTAATAAATATGGGAAAATTTAAGAAAAACTGGACATTAACAGAAATTTACAAAGAAACTGAGAAACATGGCCAATGAACTTTTTTGAAAAAATTCAATCTAACTAATAATCAAATACATGAAAGCTGAAAAGGAACTTTTTAATCTATAGAAAAAAAAACCCTTTTTTAAAGATGGTAATGTTCAATATTGACAAAGATGTATAAGAAAAACAAAATTCTAAATCCTGCTAGTATAAGTATGACCTTTCTGGAGAAGAATTTGAAAATGTATTTAAAAGCTTTAAAATTCCAATCTCCTTTGACAAATTTCACTTGCAGAAATTTACCCAAAGGAAACAATCAGTAATGTCCAAAACAATGTGCAAAGGCAGGCATCACTGCACAAGAGAAAGTGATTAAATGTAATTTGAAAATTTCTTCAAAATACATACATACATACATACATACATACATATATATATATATATATATATATATATATATATATATAAAATAAGTGAATACGGGGAAATAGACAGGCTAACAAATGAAAAAAGATTACACCAAAATGTTAATAGAAATTTCCTTTGAAGAGTGATAATTTACAGAATTTCATTTCTATAATAAGCCTACATTGCTCTAGACCACATATGTTAATTTTGTTTGAATAAGCAGATAGACACATTACAGATCAACACATCAAATTACTAACCTCTTCTGCTCTCTTGAAGACCACATTAGTATGCTGAGGAATGTCCACTTCCAAAGAGTCCCTTTTTCAAAATGGAAATAAATGTTTTATGTTGCTTATCTGATGAATAATAGTCATCCAGGATGTCAATCTAAAATAGAACTGTAAGTTCTTATACTAAAAAGTGTATATGAATAAAAAAAATCATAATTTAGTGTGTCTGGGGAATTTTGCACATACAGTCCAGATTTTCCACTCTTTGTCTTAATCTATTGCTTACTTTAGAAAAGTTTAAAGGTCTAAATTTGAATTAAGCTAACAATCAATGTATTGACTTTAGCTTAGAAACTACTTCTCGGTACATTAGAATCAAAGACTTGAGCTCACTTATAAATAATTATATTTTAAAACAATAAAAATACCAGTGTTTTGCTAAATGTACTGTATTTTTAATATTCAAGATACCTTAGCAAGAGTAGAACTCCTGCTTTTCCCAGAAGACGCCAAGCAACCCATTCTGCAGTTCTTCTATCAGCTTCATATGTAGCTTGTTGACTAACAATAAAAACCAGTGGTAATCCTAGTTGAAGATGAACAGTTGAAACTTGTTGAGGTTCTTCAGCAACTTCAGTCTTCATTTTTAAAAGGGACAAAATGTTTTTAACATATGATAATAATGTTAAAACATCTGGATTTAAGTCCTGCTAATTCTTCTTAACAAAGTCATGAGTAAAAATATAAGCATGTGAAATAAATCCACCATTAAAGATATATCTCATAATTTCCAAATTCTAATGCTCCTAGTGTACCTATGCTTTTGGCACTATAAAACTAACAAACATAGAGTTAAACTTAAAATTACAACCGTAAGGAAAAATATTAAAGGAAACCCCTAAAAAATGAGTGTGGTACTGATAAATATTTTAAATGAAAGAGAACAGATAATGAAAGAATAAATTCTTACATATAGGACTTTAAGAAATAAAATATTACAAAATAAAAAGAAACACCAGCTTAAATATATATATCTAATTTCACTCTTTCCAGAAGCCTCCGGGAAACTACAGAAATAAGATTTTTAAAAATATGATAAACATACATATGTGAAGAAAGGAAAGGGAAGCAAATTTTTCAAAATGGGAGAACAGAATAATAAATGACTTAAGAGAGACCAAAAAGCAAAAACATAAATCACAAAAACAATTCAATTTTAACTACAGAATTCTAAAGCTGTTCAGTAACTGATAGTGCCTGGCATCTTTGGAACTAAGAAAAACATTATAGGAAGAATGGTAGGAAGGCTCAGAAATGAAGAGGAATGGGTAAAAGCTTTTAAGAAATAGTTTAGAACCCAAAATTCCCCTTCTCACCTCCATGAGATTAGGCAATTGTCTGTCCCTCCTACCAGATGAAATCTGAGGGGACCTTAAGCAAACTGAGAGTGTAAATAACATACTCAAATTAGGGGAATAAAATAACCAAATGCTGAGATGCTGTCCAGTGCCCTCCCCACTATGTTACCTGAACGCTAGCAGCAGACTTCTGTCTACCAGAAGAATATGGAAGACCCTTTTCTGAGAATCTGTGGCTCTAACATGAACAATACAGAGCTAAATAAACAGAAAAGCAAGCAATATGAAGGAAGTACAGATTATAAAGGAAAAAAAGGTTTACAAAAACACCACCACTGATAATATCAATGGGTTGTGAATACACTGGTTAAATAAATCTATCAAAAAGTCACAAAAGATGATGGAAAATAGGAGAGAAAGGTAATAAAATTGAAGGACTAGTTCAAAAGGTACAGCATACAAATAATGGGAGTCCCAAAGATAAAAGAGAGAGAGAGAGAGAGAGAGAGAGAGAGAGAGAGAGAGAAAGAAAGGAAAATAGAAGAAAAAATAAAAAGAACAGAGAGAAAACAGAAGGGATGCAGTTATCATTGAAATAAATACCAAATTTCCTACAACTGAAACACATATTTGCTAAAATAAAAGAACCCACTGAGTAGCCAACATAATAGATAAAAACAGATAGGTTGAAAGATACATTTTTGCAGACTTTCAGTTAATAAGGATTATTTAATCCTAAAATTTTACCAATAGAATCCTTTATTTATGATAGACAAAATTTTAAGATACCCCCCCAAGATTCCTGGTGAACAAGACTTGTATAATCTCAATCCTTTGAGTGAGACACAGAATAGCTATTCCCTTCATCAGGTTATATTATATAAGACTCTGTTAGATAGCACACTGGAGAGAGATTATCCTGCTGGGTTGAAATAAGAAAGCTGCAGGTTTTGGAAAGGGTCATGTGGATTGCACCTGAGAATAGCTTGGAGCTAAAAGTAGTCCAGTGAACAGCCAACAAGAGAATGGAAAGTTCAGTACTAAAACCACATGAAACTGAATTACGCCAAAATCCTAAGTGAGGGAACAGCCTGATGGAGTAGAAAGTCTGCTTTTACTTCATATATTTGGAGAGTTATAAGTAATTCAGAATTGTAAAGTAAAAAGGAGGAATAAGCAGTAAGGCTAGAGATCTGGCAAGGGGCCAGATCGTTAAAATACACACACACACACACATCCTTCTAAGAAAGTAAAGTGAAGCCAGTTAGAAATTGTAAGATGTATCATATGTAACATGCTCATATATGTGTGTTTTTAAAATATCCTTCTGCCAGCAATGGGGATAATGAATTTAAAGGGAATGAAAATGAAGGAATAGAGACCAGAACAGTTACTATTACTAAAATAGTACTATGAGAGGTGGAAAGGATATGGATTAAATTATTAGCTGTTAAAATGAAGAACTCAAAAGATATTTAATATGTAAAAATAGATACAGGAAGATACAAGAACTGAAAATGATTTCCAGCTTTCTGTCATGAATAACTAGATAGTAAATCAACTAAGATAATAAAGAGAGAACAGATGGTGGAGAAAGACAACGCTTTAATGTTGTACTTATGGAGAGAGACATCTAATTAGTAGTTAGCTCTATGAGACAGAACTCCAAAAAACATGTGATCTGAAAATTCAGATTTCAGAACCAACGACACAGAAAGAGAAGAGATTAGTTCGAGGGTGTATTTCAAGCACCACCACTGTATAAAAAAGCACCCCAAAATATGATGACTTAAAATAAACATTTTGTTGCTGTTGTTTATAGCTGCAAGCTCATCTCTGGGCTGTGAACAGATATGTTATTAGTGGGGTAATCTGACTGGGAGCTGAAGGTTCCACTAAAGATGTTCATCCACATGGCTAGCAAACTGTTGACTAGTCTAAGGTCAGTCAGGTTTGTGGGCAAGAGATTTCAATTTTCTTCACATGGGCTTCACTGGCTACAAGTCACATGTAAATACACAGTTCTTCCAGATGTCCACAGTGTCATCCTATCAGACTTTGAGATCATGAGTCTAAGATCTCATCATCTACATTCATATCCAGGTATAGCTGAGGTAATACTAATGTAGTTCTAGAGATATAGCTCCTTGAGAACCCTCTGAATCTGAATCCCTATGAACTAAAAGAGGGAAATTATTTGTCTCCAAACATTTCCAACAATGATGAAACAGGCAAAGGATTACTACTACACTTGTTTAAAAGGGGAAATAGAAGCTACAATAATCACTAACACATAGGGACTCTGAAGTTCATCTGGGCTTGTGTTATCAGTTCCTTCACTAGGTTTTAGTCCTAATTCATGACAGTTGTTATCTGAGGTTCCCAACTACAAATTCTGGATACTTGGTCTACCCTCCAACTCGTCCTTTTTTGTTATAAAACAAAACAAAAGAGCTGTGCTGTTTGCAGCTGAGTAGATTTCTCAGCCTTTTCTTGCCTATAAAAATTTGGAAATCTAAAGTCTTTTTTTACTTTGTATTATTTCTTTCCCTTTCCATAAAAGCTGATACAATTCTTTTAAAACCTTTTAATTTCTTAATTACAAAATTATAATCCATTTCTACCTTGTAGGTAGAAAAGGTAACATAGCAGTACCATAAGAATTACAACTAAGGCCTCCCTAACAATGCAAGGGGTTAAGTCCATCCCTGGCCAGGGAGCTAACCCAAATAGCACGTTCAATCTCTCCTGTGTCACCCGCTGCTTCCCTCAGCAGTGTATTTCAGTCAATCCACATGTTCTGCTCTCTGCTTTGCCTCTGATGAATCCTCTCACTGCCATCTTCCCCACCCCCACCCCACACACATCTCTGGCCTATACCCCAGCACTTGTATGTGTAAATAAATAATTTTTTTAAAAAAGAATTACAACTAATAAATGTGTGAGTCTGTATATGTATGTCTCTGCATATGTGTGTAGATACATATGAATGTATAGATGTGTGTAGATACATATGAATGTATAAGAGTATACACAAAAGTGACAAAAACTCTTGCATAAGAGATGCATTACTTTTAAATTATTTAAATAACTTATAAGTTAGTTTTCAAAAAGAGTATATAAGAAAAAGGATTTAGAGGTTGCTATGAATTATTTTATGCCAACAAATTAGACAACTTAGAACATATGGATACATTTCTAGAAACATAACCTACCAAAACTGAATTATGAAGAAGTAGAAAATTTGAGCAGACATATAAGAAGACTGAATTAGTGATAAGATTAAATTAGTAATCAAAATTTGCACAAAACTGGACTGCATAAATAATTATTTTTAATTTAATAATAATATTATTTATTTATGCATACAAGTGCTGGGGTGTAGGCCAGGGGTATGTGTGAGGTGGGTGTGGGAGGATTCACCAGAGGCAAAGCAGAGAGCAGAACATGTGGATTGACTGAAATACACTGCTGAGGGAAGCAGTGGGTGACACAGGAGAGATTGAATGTGCTATTTGGGTTAGCTCCCTGGCCAGGGATGGACTTAACCCCTTGCATTGTTAGGGAGGTTTTAGTTGTAATTCTTAGATGCAAAAGAACAAAACAGAGGGTAGAGCAGAAGGAACTATGGTGATGGTACATGGGTGAAATGGTGGTGGGAATGTCATGGAGACTACATCTAAGAAGAGAAAGCACACATTGTACAAAAATGAAAAAAATATATAAAATTTAAAAATTTAAAAATTGCTGGGAATGAATGAATAGCAAAGAAAAAAAAAAGAATGAAACTATAGTACCTTATGCCATACACAAAGATCAAGCCCAAATGGGTAAAAAAACCTTAATGTAAGACCTGAAACCATACAATTTATAGAAGAAAACACAGGCAAACCATTCCAAGACATACATCTCAGAAACATCTTCAAAGACTCATCTTCTGAAGCAAAGAAAATGTGGAAAAGATAAACAGTGGGACTACATCAACCTAAAAAGCTCCTTTACAGCAAAAAGAGACAATAACCAAAATGAAGAGATGCCTTCAGATTGGGAAGAAATCTGCATTCCATAAAATTAATAAGGGGCTGATATCAAAGGTCTACAAAGAGCTTACAAAACTCGATGAAAACAAAATAAAGAATTCATTCAAAAAGTGGGCAGACAGTTAAAAAAGACACTTCTCCAAAGAAGAAATGTAGATGGCCAACAAGGCACATAAAAAAATGTTCAACATTCCTGATAATCAGATAAATGCAAATCAAAATCACAATGAGCTATCACCTCACACCAGTAAGAATGGCCCATATTTAAAAAACAATAAATGGGTGAGGCTGTTGAGAAAAGGACCCCTTTTACATTGCTGGTGAGAATGCAAACTGGTCCAACCACTATGGAAAGCTGTATGGAGGGCCCTCAAATTACTAAAATTGGATCTACCATATGACCCAGCAATTCCATCCCTAGGAATCTATCCAAACGACACCAAAATATTAACTGAAAAGTAAACCTGTACTCCTATGTTCATTGCAGCAGTAGTTACAAAAGCTAAAATATATAAACAAACTGAAAACCCCAAAACAGATGAGTAGATCAAGAAGATGTAGTTTGTATACAAAATGTAATACTACCCAGCAATCAAAAAGATAAACTTATGCCATTCACAGCATCATGGATGAAGCTGGAAGGAATTACATTCAATGAAATACATCAGAAGGGAAAAAAATTATCAGATGGTTTCACTTAGTTGAAAGGTAGAGAAACCACATAAAGGATCAGTTAAAAACAAAAGAAAACAAAACTAGCAGGCAAACTATAAATCAGAGACATTCAGCAGGGAAGGAGGGAGGGAGAAGGATGAAAATGAGAGAGAAATTCACAAGAGTCCATGGTGATGGCCCACAGGTGTCTCAGTGCTAGTAATTTTATTAGGACAACACCTGAGAAGAGAACTAAAACATTGTACAAAAATGAACAATTCTGTAAAAATATATAAATTAGAAAAAGAAGAAGAAGAAGAAAGAAAGAAATGCTCTGGACCAGACAGCTTCATTGGAGAATTTTTTCAAACATTTCTAAAAGTAATTAAAATACATTTTTAACTTAACTGCAGTTAGGACATAAAATAGGAGAGTGGAAAAGGTAAAAGTAAATACTTGTTTTATACATGTTTCATTTGCAAGAGTAGAAGTTATACCAATCCTCAAAATCTATTCCAAAAATTAAGAGGAAAGAACATCTTCAAATTCTTTGTATGAGACCAATACTACTGTGAAACCAAAATCAAACAAAGATACAATAAAACTACAGACAGAAAAACCATATGAATTCTGATACAAATAGCTTCAATAAAATACTAACAAATTTAATTCTATAGCACATTAAATGGATTAAATATCATGACTAAATGGGATTTATCCCTGGGATGCAAGGATGAAAATCAATAAATGTAATAATCTGCATTAACAGAAAAAGAAAATCTAACATTTAATTTCCTTACATGATTAAAAAATACTACACAAAATAGAAGGAAATTATCTGAATATAAAAAAGATCACATGAAAAGGCCACAGCTAACATCATAGTTAATGGTGAATAACTGAAAGTTTTTCCTCTAATATCAAAACAAGGCAAGGATGCCCATTCTTGCTACATTCATTCAAAATAGCATTGAAAGTCCTAGCCAGAATAACTAGGCTAGAAAAGTTAAAGGTATTTAAATTGGAGGGAAGAAGAAAATTATCTGTGTTCTCAAATATAGAAAACCCTAAAGGTTCCACAAAAAGTACTGTTAGAACTAGTGAATTGATTTAGCAAAGTTGCAGGATGTAAAATTAGCAGTCAAAAAGAAGCTGTGTTTATGTACACTAACAATGACAGCTTCATTGTTGAAAGGTAGAGAAACCACATAAAGGATCAGTTAAAAACAAAAGAAAACAAAACTAGCAGGCAAAAAAAGAAAATAAGAAAATAGCTATCGTGGGTGTGGTGAGGTAATATATACCTGAAGGGTGTCATCCTATACCTCTAAATCACATACAGTGTTGTAAACCTATTGTCTCAATTAAGAAAATTAAAAAGTTAAAGAATAAAAGAACCCCATTTCTAACACCATCAATAAGAATACTTAGGAAAAACTTAGCCAAGAGAGCAAAAAGTTGTACACTAAAAACAACATACATTTACTGAAAGAAGTTAAAGATACAATGAATGAAAAGACAGCCCAATCATATTTATACTTATTAGTTAGATTTGATATTCTTAAGATGTACATACTACACAAAGTTACCTACAGATGAAATGCAATCACTATAAAACTCTCGTGGAACTTTTTGCAGAAATAGAAAAACCATTCTAAAATACATACAGAATCTTCAAGAAACTCCAAACTGACTTTATGGAAAAAGAAAAAAGGCTAGAGCCACCTCTTCCCCCTGATTTCAAAACATAATTCAAAGCAATAGTAACCAAATGAGTACAGTATAGGCATGAGAACAGAATGAATGCATCAATAAGCCCTCGCATATACAAACTATCTCTATCAAGGGGGCTAAAAGTACACAATGGGGAAGGACAATCTCCTTAGCAAATGGTGTTGGGCAAATTAATATGTATTGTTCATGATCACAGATGCTAAGCAAAGTGGGGCATGGGGAAAGCTATAATACCAATATTTACCAACTTCTAAATTGTGATCAAGACACTCACAAAAGAGATCTTTTCTTAACCATGATGTAATCTTCATGATCACAGAGTGGTCACAACCATTGTATCTATCACATAATATTTTCACTTATAAATACTATCTATAATTCCAATGTGACAATACCTCAAGGTATTAAAATATCATTTTCTGAATATGGCATTTTCTATTCTTCTATTGAGGAATTAAGTAGAAGAAATACCTCCAAGGAAAGGGGAAAGAGAAAGCTGACAAAAATAAAAGGCATATCTACGAATAAAAGCAACAAATTTTATGTATAAAATATCTAATTTATTAAAATAAGACACATACCAGAAAGGGTGCTTCCATTATCTTAATAAATCGATGAATGTTCAGTGTAGTCAATGACTGTTCCATTAATGTTCTTCTACATTGCTGGGTCGAGTCCAAGACTTGTTTACAATGAAAAAAGTAGAGATGTGCATATTTTATATCCTCAGTGCTGCAAATTAAAAATTAGGGACAGACCCACTTGAAATTCAGTTGTGATCCATCTACTATGAAGAGAGACATAACAACAAATTTCTTTGCCTTCAGCTCATACATTTGCATTTCTGTTTTAATAAGAGTCTGAATGAGTACAATAAAGTAAAATGGCAGAAAAAAGAAAATATAATATTAAAGAAAGTTAACCTTAGTATTTTTAACAAGCTATGAGCTGTATAAGCAATTTTACCCTGAACTCTTTCATATGATACTACTAAATTAGGCTATAAGCAGAGATTTATATATTTTTTTTTAATAAGAGGCTGTCACTTTGAGGACAATGAGATTTTCTGTAAATATAGTTACATTTCTAGAACTATGCTAAATAAAGCTTTGTAAAACAAATTTTCTAGGTTTAATTTAAACCCAAATCTGTTTTGAATAAACTTCAGCCAAAATATGCCTTAAGATAGAAACCATGTGACACTTTGTGGGAGTTTGTGAGTTTGTATCTGAAATATTACAAAATTCAGCAAACATGGTTTATAATTTGAGTCTTGGCATTCCCTGCAATAGAATTCAAAGATAAACTTATAGTGGGTAAGTAAGGTTTGCCAAAATTAAAATAGCATTTTAAACATCGCCATATGGCATTAGTAGGGTTTGGCAAAATACTGTAAATTTTTATTTTTAAAATGTTATTTTAATTCTTGATACATGCTTAAACTGAGATCCAAGTTTCTCTGATTATAAATTTAACCACAAAGTAATTTCTAATAGATTCAATGATTAAAGAAATACTCACTAAAAGATTTACTTAATGCCTATTGGATGGTAGTCCAGTTCTAAATGCAGAAGATTCAAATCCCAAGGGTCTTAGACTAAAGGATAGATATATTCAGTAAGATAATCAAAATGTAGTTTATAAATGCTATACAAAGTGCTTTAGAAACAAGTATTTCATTTTGTCTCAAGTTGAGAAAGAGAAGGAAGGAAAAGGAAAGGAAATCATTATAAAGATCAAAAGCATAAGGGTGAAAATGACTTCCCTAAGAAGATAGGACAAATGAGTGTTTCACACAAAAGGCACAGTACAGTCAAGGTACAAAGTACACAGCTTTCTAGGGAACCCTAAAGAGTCAACTACTGCTTGAAGTGAAGTATGAAAGCAAGAGAACCTAGCTGAATTTGGAACACACATCACAACTTTTGAAATAATAAAATAATGTAGCAAAATTATTTAATTAGTTGTAGGGGAGAGTAGGAACTTTCTAGAAGTTTAAAAGTATATTCAAGTAAAACAAGAAACAGTCAAGTAACTGAGTCAGAGGGAAAATATGGAGATCAGAATAAGAATTCAGGACTTCATTTTGTCATTAACACTTTTAAGTTCCCAACTCTCCCTAGAGGGACAACTCTCTTTGCTGGACAACACATTGCTATGAGCAAAAGCGCCATGACACTGTATAATCCAATTTCTCAGCCAACTCTGGGTTCCTCAGAAGAGAGTTCTTCTGCTCAAGTAAGCCAAAATATTGATTGACCCTCAATCAGGTCACAGCCTTTGATTTAACTGTGACAAATATGGGGTGAAGATACCCTTCTTAGTATATGCATAAGTTCTTTGAGAAGGGGCAGGTGGCAAAAGTACTAGCATCTCTATAGCATGCTATTTTACTACCTATTATAGTGTACATAATAATAAAACACATAACCAACACATAATTTTAAACATACTCATAATGTAACAATATATACTATAGGGGTTATAGCCCCAGTAACTGAAATAGTGTTTAGCACAAAGAAGACATTCCATAAGAGAACAAATGCATTCAATTCCCCCACAATTAGGAAGTGACCCAAAGTCATCTAGAAGTAATGTCAGAGGACAACAGTATTCTGAGCTTATAGTCCCTCTCTGTCACATCAGCTCCAGAACTGGCTCTCTTCAACATCTTGTTATTTATGAGTAAATGAGAATTCAAACAGCTCCAATATATCACATACTTGAGACTGTATGAAAAAACAGAGCAACTGTAATTTTAAATTCTCATTTTAAAAATAGGGGAAAGCAGAAAAACATTTCTAGTATACAGAATATCTTGCTGAATGGGGTTGCAAAGGAAACAATAGGATCTATATTATGCCAATATATAAGCATTTCTTTGTGTTTTAAGTATACCACCATTCTTTGCAATTTTTCATTATCTGAAAAATAAAGAAACTGACAATCTAAGAAATTACAACCAACTCACCCTCAGGGAAACCCTCAGGGGGCTAGCATAGAACCAGCATAAGATACAGAGCAATAGGGCTTCCCCATTCTGGGATAGGATACTGAAAGTCTATGCTTTGCTACTATTAAAGCAGCAAGATAGCTAATTCAATGACTGTTTATTGAATCTGGAGACTATGCAGTGATGACTTATGGCACCATAAGTATAATTCTCAAACTGTCCAAAATATAACTCTTACTCAAACAGCAAGCATGCATCAAAATTTTAGTTAGCTCATTACATTACTGACGGAACCAGCAAAAGGGCACTTCAGTGAGAAGTTACCAATGGAAAAAGAAATGCTGATCAAAGTCATACAAGCAATAAAAACATAACTCCTCTTTGCAGGAAATTAATTCACCATCTATTTACACTCCCCCACCCCATTTCACTTATCGTGTTTTATGAACCAACTTCTAAAGTTATATAGTTGTGAAATGTCTGGGATTTAATTATATCAAACAATCACTATTTTTAAGAGACCAGTAGTAGGGTTAATTAAAAAAAAAAAAAAACAAACTTGCTCAGAGCATAATTTACAATTGCCAAGAGTTGGGAAAAAACCTTAATGCTCATCAACTGATCATCGGATGGACTGTGGTGTATATATACATAGTGAAATACTACATAGTGACATTTAAGGGGAAAAAAAAAATCCCATTATTTGCAACAGCAATGAAGGACCTAGAGAGCATTATGCAAAGTAAAATAAGGTAGAAAAGACAAACAACACATGCATGATTTCATTCACATGTGGGAAAGAAACAAAGCAGATGAACATCAAAACAATTAAAGGACAAGACCGTGTTTACCAAAAGGGAAGTGGAAAATGAGGTGGTAAATTGGGTAAAAGAAATGGATCAATTGTACAGTGACAGAAAATACTACATAACATAGTATATACAAATGTTGACATTATCAGTCTGTACACCTGAAACCTATTTTTCTTCAATTAAAAAAAAAAAACTTTTGAGGTAGATTTGTTTATTTTTTGTTTCTGTTTCCCTTAACAGTCCCAAATGCATCTCTGTAGTTGATGCCTGTGAGTGGAATGTATGCAGAATGGAATGCTACTCAGCTCTTTAAAAGGATGAAGTAGTACCTTCTGGAATAAAATGGATGGATCTTGAGCTGATAATGCTAAGTGAAATAAGTCAGAGAATCAAAGACAAATACCAGAAGGTTTCACTTCCTTGGGAATGTAAATAACCAAAGAAAACAAACTGGCAAAGCACAGCAAAAGTAATTCTTACTCTCTGTGAAAATTACACTAGCTATATATTTCTGGATTTATTTCTGAGTTCTCAATCTATTCTATTGGTCTGTGTGTCTGTTATTGTTCCAGTACAATGCTGTTTTGATTATTATGGCTTTAAAGTATAATGTGTGGAAATGTAATACGTCCATTTTTCCTTTTATTTTTGGTCAGAATAGCTTTGGCTGTTCAGGCTCTCTGAAATTTCATGATTTCAATAATGGTATTACTGAAAATGGGACTGTTATTACTTATTTGTTTAATAAAAGATATTTTACTAAAAAATATATACTGGGGCCCTCCCTGGTGGCGCAGCAGGTTAAAGCACTGCACTAAGAAGCTTAAGCCATTTCAGCATGAGTTCGATCCCCGCCTGTCCCGGAGGAGATCCACGTGGAGAGGCAGACCTCTCCTGACCTGCCCGCTGCTCCCCTCAGCAGTATACTTTGATCATCTGCCTGTTCTGCTCCCCACTCTGTCTCTGGTGAATCCTCTCACCCTCCGCATCTCTGGCCTGTACCCCAGTTCTGTATGAATAAATAAATAAATTTTAAAAATATAAATATATATATATATATACTGGTTACCAGAAGAATGGGGAATGGAGGAAAGCGTGGAAGGAAAGGAATAGGATATGGACATGGCAATTTTGGTGTGGAGTGAGTGAAGCATGTGTCTATATGAGGTGTGAAGATAGACCCCCAAGATAACACTGCTATGTAAACAACTGAAATATTAATAAAATTTGAGAAAAAAACATCTTGCATGATATATAAAAGGTCACACATCCACCATTTTGTCTTACTTTTTATTAATTTTGCTGAAGAGCATTCTGAAGCCAAACTTAGTCTTTAAGCTACACTGATTATTCCTTGTAGCCATAAGTATCAAAGGAAATGAAAAACTTTAACCATGGGTTACCCAGCCAAAAACAGTGAAATAAAAGCTTCCACCTAAAATTGTAAGACACAAAAGTAAACATTTAACACATTCTGTTCCAAACCTGTACTTAAATATACCAAGGTTAAGATGAGGAAAGTAATTTACAGTATACAAAGAAAGAAATCTCTGGAGCCTAGTTATAAGCTACCTGATAACTATGGGAAATGTATTCCTAAAATATACTTGGCTCCTCATGGGTTCAACTGTGGCTTATCCACATCATCCTTCTTCACGTCAGTCAAACATCACTTTTGTCAAACATCACTTCTGTGTGCTACAATTCACTTTCAGACTATAGTAAGTAGATGATGTAATGAAGGTGATTTCAGGTTTCATTTATACTTTTGCATCTGCTTATAAGTCCTCTGATAATTCCATGATGTGAGAGTAGAATGGAAATGTTGAATAAGTGAACTTAAACTTATTGACATATGCTCTTATACATACCCAATACTTTCCAAAAGGGCAATTTCTGTGGTTAAGACAAATTGATATGTGGTCCCATACACAAAAGCAGCTTCCATGACTGCTCTGTGCTCTGAAAAAGAGATAAGAGAGTTGGAGGGAGGAGCTAGTTTGAGTCACTCTACATACTTCCATTCTTAATATTGTCTTATCCCCTTTATGTTCTATTATCTTTAAAGAAAAATCCTTCACAGGGAATCCATTTGGGAAAACGCAGGAAGTTAGAGAAGTTATGAAAACTCTATTAAAGTCAAGATAAAGAAAAAATTAAGAGGGAGAAGGAAATTAATGTACTTGAGACTAAAACAATGACTAATTTGTGATAAGCTCTTCCTAGCATAAGGAAGAACATGAGGCCACCATACAACTTTCACATGTAATATTTTATATATGTATATGCCTGTTTATTATTTCTGAATTAGTTATTTTTAATCATTTACTTTTATCTATAGTTTAAAGAAAACAAATAATTCTTTTTAAGATTTATTTATTTATATATACAGAAGTGGGGTACAGGCCAGAGGTGCAGGAGTGGTGACAGGATTCACAGAGACAGGGTGGGAAGCAGAACAGGAGGGAGACTGACAAAATACACTGCTGAGGGGAGCAGAAGGTGAGACAGAAGTCTGCTGTACCACATGGATCACCTCTGGAGCTGGGGCTAGAACCTGCACTGAAGTGGCTGAGGCTAGCTTGCAGTGCTGCACTTTAACCCATTGTGCCACCAGGGAGGGATAAAACAAGTAATTCTACAAGGCACATTAAGAAACAACAATTTTGGGCCCTTCCTGGTAGCACAGAGGGTTAAAGCACAGCACAAAGAAGTTTAAGCCACTTCCCCATGAGCGCAGCAGACCTCTCCTGGCCTGCCTGCTGCTCCCCTCAGCAGTGTACTTTGTAGATCTGCCTGTTCTGCTCCCTGCTCTGTCTCTGGTGAATCCTCTCACCCTCCGCATCTCTGCCCATACCCCAGTTCTATACGAATAAATAAATAAATCTTTAAAAAAAAACACAAAAACAATAATTTCTCTACCCTTGATCCCATTTCCAACTTTCAAAGGAAAACTATATTCAACTCTTTTAAAAAGAGTCTCTTTTGTGTTTTTTACCTCAAAGTCTCCATATGACATTCTTACATTCTTATACCCTAATACCTTCTTCTTAAATTTCATCTATTGCCTATCATGAAAGACAATAAAACTCTATTCCAAAACCCCATTTCATAAACACACATACTTCCTATCCCCTCAACTGTCCCAATATAGTTCTAATTTTTATTAGAACAGTCAGCATTTACGTTGTTGTGGCTCAATAAGTACTATTCATAGATGAGTCTTACCATAAAAAATGAACATCTTTCCTCTTCTCAACAACTTTTTCTTCATATTAAAAACTATCCTTATCTTCCTAATTTATCTCTAAACCCTTTCACAATTTCTAACCTCCTCACTATTTTGAATATATCAGTCAGGTATACTACCAATTCCCTCTTCTTGGAGACATTCCTGTAGATTTGCTCCACTATGGATTATTGCTACTTACCCTGATAAACAACAATGATTCTGAAAACTCACTTCCTCATCAGCTTGGGAAGCCCTTATTCCCTCTTGTATTAGATCTTTAGCCTATTACCCACTTCTCACCTGATTTGGTTCCTATTTGTAACACATATAGAATGCACATTTTTTTTTTTTTTGTGATCTTGTACTTCTGGAAGTGTCTGTATTCTGCTTTAATGACTAATTGTGGTTGTCTGCATATAGAATTCTAACTTCAAGTCATTTCTCCTAAGATATTTGAAAGCACTGTTCCATTTCCTTCACTTTCCAGGGCTACAATCAGTAAGTCCAAAGTCATTCTGATTCTGGTCTTTTAACTGAGATTCTTTTTTTTCCTTTCTGAAAAATTTTAGAACTTCAGGTATTCTGAGATTTCAAAGAGATGCTTTCCATTCACTATTCTGTAACTCAGTGGTCTCTTTCAATGTGGAAACTCAAATCCTTCAGTTCTAAGAAATGTTCTTTGTTTCTTTAAAAATTTCTCCCTTTGAGATGCAAATTAAAACCACAATGAGAATGGCACATCTTCAAACAACTAGCAACAACAAATGTTGGTGAGGATGTGGAGAAAAAGGAACTCTCCTGCATTGCTGGTGGGAATGCAAACTAGTACAACCACTATGGAAAACTGTTTGGAGGTTGCTCAAACTGCTAAACATGGAGCTTCCCTATGACCCAGCAATCCCACTCCTAGGTATCTACCCAAAAGACACAAAAACACTGATTGAAAAAGATACTTGTACCCCCATGTTTATTGCTGCTTTATTTACAATTGGAAAAACATGGAAGCAGCCCAAATGCCCAAAAGTAGATGACTGGATTAGAAAGATGTGGTACATATATACAATGGAATATTACTCAGCAACCAAAAAAGAGAAACACATGTCTTTTGCAGCAACTTGAATGGAGCTGGAAAAGATCATGCTTAGTGAGATAAGACAAAAAGAGAAAGAAAAATACCGGATGGTTTCACTCATAGCAGGAGTATAATGGACCAGGCAAGAAAATAACAAAAATAATGAACAACCATAGACCAGAGACATTCTGTGGGGGTGGAGTGGGGAATGGGATCAAAAACGGGGGAGAGGGGAAGGGAGGGAAATGCACGGGACTATGGTGGTGGCACAGGGGTGATTTGGTGATGGGAAACCCATGGGGATTACAATTGAGATGGGAAAAAAAATGTGCAAAATGATGTAAAAATAAACTTTTTAATAAAAAAAAAAATTCTCCCTTTGCCATAATTTATTTTGCCTTTTCTACTCACTGAATTTCCAGTCAGTTATCTTCTCCTTCCAACCCCACCTCCCCCACACCCTACCCTCATCACCCAATTTTTTACCACCTGAAGCACATATCATTTTCATCATCACCTGGCCTCATTTGGAGTCATCCACCACCTGCCAGGAGTCTCTCTCTCAATCCATGAAACTACTCTCTCCAGTATGACTTGTCTTGATCTTTGGTACATTAATTATCTTCATAGATTATCCTTTCATAAACCTAGCCTATCAGGACTTGGTATTCTCCAGTGATTCCATGGAATCTCTCTTCAGCCCTACTCAACCATTCATTGCTATGTTCCCCACTACAGGTCTCCTAATTACCAATCCCCAAACCCTTCCCAAGGCTCACCACCACATATACATCCATCAGTCCTCAGCTCACTCTATTTAGTATGTAATTCTAACCTTCTGGGACCTTCAACTTTACACTTTTCACTGTCTTTCGTGCCCCTCAAACTCTCTTCCCCTCTACTTAACGCAACTTAAATTCCTTGATCAATCTTTGTAATCACTCTCCTGCTTGTTTGACTAAAACACAATCCAGGCTAAATCAAGTTCTCTGCTATTCTGCACTTACACCCACAAAAGCAAACATGGAGGTAGGAAAAACAAAACAAAACCCTTCAAGCATCACCATGCCAATGGTCTCACCTTAGATGACTAACACCAACAATTACTGTTGCCTAGCAACCGTTCTTTATTTGCAGGCCTGCTAAAAAACAATTTCATCTTTTCTCTTTTCAAACTGTCTGATGACTTTATTTCTATTTCATTGAGAAACAGACCCAATTAAAAAAGCAAAACCAAAATAACTTTCATAAGCACCCAGAACTGTATTTATCTACCCACTTACTTAAATCAATAGTGGTATTAGCTTCCCTATTACCAAAGATGAATGTTCTGTTCTCCCAGCAAAGAACCACCCCTCCTTTTGCTGGCTAGATTTCATCCTTTCTAGTCTATTCAAAACAGGATAATTGTGCCAGTGATTCTCCCTTCTTCTTACATGATGCATTTTCCCCCATCTACAGGTCTTTGTCAGCAGCATACAAACATGCTTCTTAAAAGTTTTTATAGTTGACCTCACATGCTCTTCCCGTTAATGCTCCATTTTTCTTCTTCCCTATAGTAAATATTCTCAAATGAATCTCAATATTCAGTCTCCAGTTGTAATTGCAATAACTAACATAGAGCACTTACTAGGCACTGAAATCTTACTAATTATTTTAGTTCCTTTGATCCCTACAACAGCCCTAAGAGGTAGACATATTATTTTCACTACCATAGTGACTAAGAAACTGAAGTTAAGTAAGTTGTCCAAGATCACACTTTCAATAACTTGTAGAAAATATCTGTAAGAGGCAATAAGTCTAGTGCAGGGGTCTGTTCCAATTTCTTGTTAATTGCTCTATTATGCCTCCTTTTTAAAGAAAGAAAACATAATATTAAAGGTTCTACATTTATTTTAAAGTATGAAGATTGTGCTCAAAATATATCATTTTAAGTCTTTCAACATACCCCAGTAGGTAGGCACAGCAAAGATTATAAAAGTAAAAGTTAGTAAGTACCTGGTGTTCCAATGGCTTTTACATATGAAAATGCAATGTTTGCTTTTCCTTTTAGAGCATTTTCTATTTTCTGAAGATCATCCAGCGTGGCAATGTATTTCACTTCATTAAAAAGTAGAGCACTGGAATAAAAAGAAATGTGGTTAAAAGAAATATCTGACATATACTTAGTTTTCAACACATATTTGTCAAGTAAGTTAAACAGCCTAGTCAACAAAGAAGTTTAGTTATTTTGAACAAATTATTAGTAGGAAGAAATTAAGCATTTTAACACTGAACTAAAATCATTCTCTACATTATTAGTCAGCGTCTAAGAACATAACCAGGAACAGTTGTAAGAAATAGTGCTATTTCTCCACCTAAACCACCTCATTGTAGCTTGAACTTGCTAACATTCTAGTCTATCTAAATAATCTCTTACAGATCTCTCAGCCTTGAATACATCTGAGCCAACATTTAAACCACAGGCTTCTTTCCATGACCTATAAGACTTAAATGACCTAGAACTTGCTTATTTCTCCAACCTCATTCTGTTCTACCATTCCAAATGTCTACCAAGCATACCTCAGAGCTTTTTACTAAAAGCTGTCTCTTCTGCTCCTTCTCAGACAGCTGACCTGAGTTTACACATCATTGTCTCAGAGAAGCCTTCACTACGGTGCTAAGTAAATAGGTCTATAGCATTTTCCTCTTCTATTTCACATTGTTTGATTCCTTCATAGTACCTATCACAATTTATAATTATTTATAGATAATGTGTATGTACTTGTTTATTCCTACTGATAGCTTCTTGGAAAAGGTACCTTGAATATTTTATCACTATGTTCAAAGTAACTTAGAATAGCTTATTGTAATTAATCAATGAATATTTATTGAATGAATGAAAGGAAAAGTGGGGCAGGTATTAACTTAATCCTTTTCATCTTCACTTGATCAGAGTATGAAACACTAAAGAATTTACTCAAGCAATAAACTTACTGAATTAAGAAGTCAGGAATAGAATACAAAGAAAATCTTACTCTTAGTTTAGTGATCTTCCTACTAGACCATGTTCCTCCAAATCATCTTTTCAATGCATAAATCAGACTAAGTGATCATATTTCTTTATCCGAAAGAACCTCCATTTTAAAATTTCTACTTCTATATAACTTCTCTAATACTAATAACTCGCTCTTATTAATCTGTGTCTGTGGTGTATAATTTTAAAGTTAGGTTAAAACTAAAGGATTTTTGAACGTTGTTCCATATCCATATACATCAGTAAACAAAGGTTCAATCAACTATCTCCACAACGAATTAGCTGAACAGTTTCCTCTTATGGGAAACAAGGCACTTTCCAATAACATAGTAATTATCAAACTTTTTGGTCTCAAGATTTATTTATGACCTTAAAAAGTATTTACTTCCCCCAAAAGATTTTGTTTATATGGTTACATCTATCAATAATTGTTAAAACAGGAATTTTTAAATATTTCTTAAATGCTTCTAAAAATAATAATATAATAAACACCATTGAGTGTAAACATGAACACTTTATTAAAAAATTACTGAGTTTTCCAAAACAGAAAACATGTAGTGAGAGGAGTGGAAATGTTTCACATGTTTGCAAAGCTCCTTACTATTGGACTGTTGGAAGACAACTGGATTCTCAGACCTTTTTCTGTACTCAGTATGGTGTGACATCATGCAACATGCCAGGAGTCACTGGAAATGTACTCATGAGTAACAATGACAAAGGCACATCTCAAATATAAAAATTTTGTGACTTTCTGTAGCCCTTAAAACACTAACCTAAATTACTCTGGCCTTAATACCTACCTATTTATTACTCATTTCTTCAAGCTTTTAAAATAAATGTAAAGCTTAACCCCCAGGCCTCTTGTTCCACTTTTAAAAGAAATATTTATTGAGCAATACACACTACGTACCAAACTTTTTGGCATGTTTTCATTTAAATTCCTTATGATTTTCTTAGAATACTTTCAACCTGTACATGTGTCTATGCAAACACATACATACACAGGTAGAGAGAGAAAGAAAAAAAAAAACAGCTTGAGGGACTAAATAATGTGCTCCAGATTATACTGGCAGTTACTGGTAGACCTGATATTTAAATCCAGGTCTTCTGACACTAAGATCGGCACTTTCTTAATGACACATAAGTGGGAAACAAGGTCAAAGAGAAGTAACTAAAGAATGGCAAGGGAGTCTTCGGTGGCAATCTGGAGTCTCAGTGGCAATCTGGGCTACTGGCAACTGTATGTTAGCAAACAAGTACAGAATGAGCCATGAATTACTGCAAAATCACTAGAAAGTACCAACTAACAAGATGGCCATGTAAATTCAAAGCTTGAAAATTACATTCACTCATTTACCTTCATTGTTCTATTAATTCTATTAGCTTCAAAATAAAATCAGGGAGTACTGGCCCTCCCTGGTGGCGCAGCGGGTTAAAGCACAGCACTAAGAAGCTAAAGCCACTTCCGCATAAGTTCGATTCCCGCCTGCCCAAGAGGTGACCACATAGCACGGCAGACCTCTCCTGACCCACCCGCTGCTCCCCTCAGCAGTGTACTTCATCGATCTGCCTGTTCTGCTCCCCACTCTGTCTCTGGTGAAGCCTCTCGCCGTTCCTGAGCCTCTGGCCTGTACCCCAGCTCTGTATGCACAAATAAATAAATCTTAAAAAATAAAATATATAAATATATAAATATATATATATATATAAATCAGGAAGTACACATCTCACTAACCTTTTTTTCTTAATTAGCATGGCAAAGATAAATTAATAAAAGCTAATATTTGGGGGCAGTTACCACCTGTCAAGCATAATCCTAAGCACTTTATAAGCAGTAGCAAGTTATAGTCTGGGGACTGCCCTGTTCTGAATTCTTCTGCTTTGCTTTGGAAATTCACTATTTTCTAAGTCTTCGTGGTGGTGAGAGCCCAAGCGGCCTCAGAAAAGTTAATGATATTATAAACTTGCTTTTCCAGGCTCCCTGCTGTAAGGCATGACATATGTGACCCAGAATCATTTGCCTGACATTCTGGACCAAGCACTAGTGATATAAAGAATCGGGGACAGTGTGGAATTACTTCAAGAAGCTATAGCAGCAACAGTCAGCATCAAAGGTCACAGTGACAACAGTGATGTGACAGCTCTGGTTCACATGATACCAGCTGTGGCACCCAATGCACAGCAGTAACACAGCAGCCGTCCCCAGACTATTTCTGTCACGAGTTGCATGGTAACTCAGAACTACATAACCCTCAGGTTGTTCTTCAGCCCTTTAAGGTAGCTTGAGATTTTCCATTCCAAATCCCTTCTGCTCAAGTCAGTCATACCTAGATTCTGGGGATTATAACTAAGAAGGCTCAGCAATGAACTCCGTTGTGTTTAATTTTCATATCAATCAACTGAATCAGTACAACCACTGACTCCACTTTATAGATAAGGTCATGGGACTTAAGAGAGGTTGCCTTGCCTGATGTTGCAAAGCTCACTGAGTAGCCATTATGAGGTAATAATAACAAAAAGTCATGACATTTATAAGCTAATGTCTCTGAATTTTCTCAGCGGCTTCTTAACTTTAACATACATATTTTTACTGTTAATTTCTAAAATATGAGGACATCTGGGCATCTCTAGGATCCATTACACAAAATTGTGCTAAATCCTTCTACCTCAAGGATGAGAATGCTGGGTGCTTCAGTTCTATAGTCAGCTTTCAGGGGTTAATTTTTAAGCTTATCTTTACCTGAATCTTTGTGTAGTTTCTCTATATTCTACATATAAGTGACATGATCTGATATTGCCTTCCTCCTCCTGACTTATTTCACATAGTATAATCCATAGTATAAAGGAAGCTAATCTGAAAAGGCTGCATGTTGTATGATTCTACCTATATGGCACTCTGGAAAGGGAAAACTATACAGAACAGGAAAACAATATAGTCACTAAAAGATTAGTGACTTGGGGATGGAAGGAGGTTGGAAGGAGAACCAAGGATTTTTTGGGTCTTTGAAACTATTCTGTATGATATCATAATGGCAGCTACATGTCATTATATATTTGTCAAAACTTGAAAGTGCAGAACCAAAGAAGGAACCGTAATGTAAACTATACAAATCAGTTAATAATGTGTTGATATTTATCCATTAACTATAACATGTACAAGACTAGCAAGAGGGTCACCAAATACAGTTCCTAGACTATAACTGCAGGTATACTCATGAGCATAGAGATTGGGAGGGGAAAGAAACCTAACCTTTTCTAGACAACTGCAAAGGGCTGGCTGTGCACCAAGTAATGCCTTCACCCCTTGAGACCTGCCAGGTGGTACAGGGTTTGGCCTGAAAGAAACATCACACAAGGACTTAGATCTGGAGCTATGTTTCTCAACCTCAGTGGCTATTAAAAGCCCAAATTTCTTCAGAAGGCAAAGATCCCCTTCATCAACTCATGCCTACTCACATGTTTCACATTTCATATTCCCTCTTTGTGGGGCAAAATCTGCCCTCTCCAAACCATTCTAATCTCCAGACCTTTGCTCACCCAGTTACAACTGGTCTCCCATGCTTCCCATTATTCACCAAAATCCCACCATCCTTTTGTTAAGGGGAAGGATGTCCTAAAGGAACTCTGCAGAGTTTTGTGGACTCCACCCCCTACTCCAGCTTTCTGGATTCCACGCTCTACTCCAGTGATTGGAAAACTACAACTCCCAGTAGTACCAAGGCGAGAACTGCAAGGAACCCAGGGTGGAGCTAAGCAGGCATTCTGGGACTTTGGAGGATAACTAAAGAGCAGTTTTCCACTGTGGCGCTAAAAAGGTAATGGCTCTCTCTCTCTGGAGCAAAGGCTCTCAGACAGTGTGACTGGGGGCTAGCAGTTAGTTTGTGACTAAAGCTCCAAGTTAGCCAAGCTGGTAAAATATTCCAGTTACTTTGTATCTCTCTCTCTTACCCATTACCTTTTTATGTGTGTCTGCAGAAAATTACATTTTAAGCAAGTGGGTAAGGACCCACAGACAGGCAGCACAAGTTCACTCTGGGCTACCCTGTAACACTTTAAGGCATCCCAAATGTCACTTCCTTTAGGAAGATTTATTAACAAAAATCTGCCCTCAAGGAAGCATTCCCTCCCTTGAGGATACATAACTCCCCCACCTCCCATGCATATATCCTTCTACTATTTAACTAAATAATATTTTGTTTATATATGTATCTCTGCAACAAAACACTACATTCCTAGAAAACACAAGTTACATCCTATTCTGTTTTGTATTTCCTATACCTAATAAATATCTTGCATCTAACAGGAACATGGGGGGACAATCCATCTGTGCAATTAGTTTTCTATTTGTATTAGTACACCACTAAGAACAGATACCCCAACAGGAGGATGGAATGACACAAGCCCACAAGTAAACCAGTTCAGAGAAGAGGATCCCCAGCATTGACAGCGCTTCCATATTGAAGACACAATTGTTTCAAAGCTCTTGCCATCAAGTTGTCCAACAGGGGCCTGCCGCTGTAGGGTTTTAATCAAGCTTGCCAAAATCAACCCTGCTCCACCCCTTAAAGAATTACATTTCTCTGTTTCTTCATCCTTATTTCTAGTACAAAAACAGTCACCAGACAGGAATCGTAAAAAAAAAAAAAAAACAGCAGAAACTAGAATGCTTCCTGAAAACAAATATCATACTTGAACTTCTTCTGGAGAGTTTTATGACCACAGCCTCAAGATAGCTACCCTCGTCTATCCCATGAAAGGGTTTCCAAGGTAGCACCATAGCTCTTAAAAAATTATTTCTTTAAAAAGCCACTTTTCATCCTTATAATTGGGATAAAGCCATCTTTCATCCTTATAATCTTAGTCTATAGGCCTCAGGGCGTGGTTGTTACAGATTTCTAAAGACATTTTGTTAAGATATGTATTGGAACATTTAAAAGTGTCATTTGCAAAGTGCTTACCATAACATTTTACCTATAAATTTTGAGTTTCTTTTAATGTAACTCAAAATTTTTGTGCAAATCAAATAGGAAAGGAGAAGGAAAGAGGAGGTAAGTAGAAAACAAAGCTAGTCAATGTCTGCCAGGATCTTGGTGGGCAACAGACCTACAACATTAAACTGGAAAAATTCACATAAAATTTATATATTTCACATAAACAAGTCCTACCTTCTAAGAGAATGCAAGTAGGGGTAGATTATAGGAATGGGTAGACTAAGGAAAGGAGGCCTGAATCCCAGGCCTAAAGATTATATGCTAGGGAAATTAAACTCTCTCTCTCAACACTTAAGTATGTGCTGCAACTATCTGCATCCTTTTTGTATTTCCTGAGCCAGCACAGACCTACAAACTCCAGGAAAAAAAATAGGCGGGGGTGAAAAAGATACCAAACACATTAAAAGTCCCAATGTGAACAGTGAAAATGTGCTTCTTACCTGGTAAAATACTCACTCCATAGGTGGAAACAAAAGCAAAAGCAGTAGTAGACCTACATGGCTATGTGGTGTTCTCCTACTTTCATACAATGAGTGTATATATTTTTTTAAAGATTTATTTATTCATTAATATAGAACTGGGGTACAGGCCAGAGATGCGAAGGGTGAAAGGATTCACCAGAGACAGAGTGGGGAGCAGAACAGGCAGATCTATGAAGTACACTGCTGAGGGGAGCAGCGGGCGGGTCAGGAGAGGTCTGCCTCGCCATGTGGAGCTCCTCCAGGGCAGGCAGGAATCGAACTCATGTGGAAGTGGCTTAAGCTTTTTAGTGCTGTGCTTTAACCTGCTGCGCCACAAGGGAGGGCCCAATAGTGTATATTTTTTTGTAGCCTTTGTTACTTAAGAACATTTAGGTCTTCTCTGTGGGAAGCTAGGAGCAGTAATTTCACTAAAATTTAGACCTACAAATATAATGTTTATACCCTAAAACATTGTAATGGATTATGGTTGTCTAAAAGAAAGTCAGTAGATAACAAAGAAGCAAATGGGTAACCCTTGTACTTACAAGAGAACATGAGCAACGATGGCATTCACATCAAATAAGGTATCAGTAGGGAATTCTCTGAGTAATATGGTGCCCCTACAAAAAGTTTAGAAAGACATTAAGAAAATATTTCCTTGGAATTCAATTTACTTGTCTCTAATAAATTCTTTATGCTGGAGATTGTGTTTTATCCATTATCTCATGCTCCTATCGGAGTACTGGCCACAATACACTCAAATATTTATTTAAAAAAAAAATTCAATAAATAACATTGGCCTTGAAAATTCTAGGCCCTGGGTCTGGCAAAGAGATTGGGGAAAAACCTGAGTCCAAACAAGGCTTTCGACAAACCCACCCTGTCACATACACAGATTTCACAAATGGCCGGGAAGCAGACAAACGGGAAAGAAATCCTCAGCAGAGGCCCTGAGGGGCAGGATCTCTCCCTACTTCTTCATCAAATCCCAAAATTCTGAGGGAAGGATTTTGAGTAGTCTCAAATAGAGTAGCAAACTCAAGTACAGAGAATCTTAACTTGAATATTGGCAGATGTCAAAAATATAGTGCATTTATGTCATACCTGAACATGAACCTGACAAATCTACTTAGAAGTCTAAATTTGCTACTTACTTACCAGGTATTTTTAAATAGAAGTTTACATTAATAGCCATGTAATAGTTAAACTATCCTGTGGGAGATATCATTCTTCTCATTTTATAGATAAGGAAGCTAAAGTGCAAGTAAAAATCAATTACTTGGATTTTTTGCTAAGTCACTTGACTCCCACTGAACACAACTTTATTCTGGCTTAGTGACATTTTATAGTATTTGAATATTCTAGAAATATGGCTTTATGTTTGTCTCTCATTCTCAAAAAATAGTTTACCTGAATAAGTAGGCTTTCATCAAATCACTTCCTTTTCCACAGTATCTTGATATTTCTTCTTCAACACAATTAACCTTCAAAAGATTATATACAATGTTAAGGGTATATATTAAGAGGTCAGTTTTCTTGATTAGGGACATAAGAAGGAAAACTAAATATTCTAATTCGTTGCAATTCAATTTTTTTATTTTACTTTTCTGTCTGACTTGTATCCTATAATGGCTCTCTTATTCAAGAGCTTGTGATAATCCAAAGGAACTGTTTCTACACCTAAGAGTTACATTATATTAATGTAACGGTAACCAGCTAGAAAAGGACGGAAACAATAATGGAAGGAAAAAAAGTAATGAGAAAAAGTCAAGAAGCACAGATGTGAGTGAACCTTGAAAGTATCTCAGCACCTCATTCAGAGGCATGGAAGACACTGGTGGTTTCTTATCCCAAATCCATCTTCCCAGTTGTTTTTTACTAACAGAATCTCACTAAGGGCAAGTAACCTATAAGATTTTTCCAGGTTCCCCAACAGCTAAGGGATGACAATGGATGTTAGATGTTGCTGGGCTGGAATTCCAGGAGGCTCTTAAAAGAGGGTTAACTGAGGGCCCTGCCTGGTGGTACAATGGGTTAAAGCACAGCTCTATGAAGCTATCAGCAGCCACTGCAGCACAAGTTCAATCCCAGGCCAGGGAGGTGACCCACATGGCATGGCAGACCTTTTCTGACACTGCCTGCGGCTTCCCTCAGCATTGTATTTCAGTGGCTCCGCCTGTTCTACTCCCTACTCTGTCTCTGGTGAATCCTCTCACTCCCCATACCTCTGGCCTGTATCCCAGTTGTTGTATGAATAAATAAATAGATCTTAAAAAAAAAAAAGAGGATTCACTGATACCCTCACTCTTATTTCTGCCGACAAAAAAAACCAGACAAGATAGCTAGAGCGCTCTCAGCGGTCAGGACCATAAAACACATTTCCAAAAGAAAACTTCGCTAAAGGTGATGAAATATAAAGAATGGTTCCCTGATGAAATTAGGGCAGCTACAACAGCCCTTGATAGTTTATTATCTGAACTCTATGTGAAAAATATAAGGGCAATCTTGGCAGCAACATAAAGATAAAAGGGAAGGCAAGAGAGCACAAAGCAAGAGGGCAAGCTAAAATAATACCATTTGAGTATCAGTCTAGGATGACTGAACAGAAGAGATTCAAGACTTCTCAAAAATACAATAAGCAAAGTCAGGGAAAAGACTGAGTATATGTATGCAGGATGGGATCAGGACAGAACTAAAGAAATGAAGAGGTTTCTAGATGGCAACTAAGGCTGGAAGAAGAGCAGCTATTTTGTTTTGGATTTTATCATTCCTTTTAAGCTGTATTTTTGCTGTTGTTCCACTTAAGTCTTAACAAATTTGAGGAAGCACAGTAACTGGGGAAGTGACATTTGGTTTTAAAAAGCTACAAAAGGAGAACTGATACTCAGAAAATATATCAAGAATAGAAAGTCAGAATTAAAAGTCAGTGTGTAGTAACAAAACCAAAAAAATAAATTTTAGTATGTGTAATTTGTAAAAAGCCAGAGCATAAGAGATGGTTGACATTATGACAATACATTTGTCCATTTATACATCCAACATATATTTGAACATCTACCTTATATGAGCTACTGTTCCAGTCACCCAATATATTACTCTGATACAAATAAGCAGCTTTATCTTAAGACTCTGCATCAAAAAGTGAGAAAATTTCAAATACCAAAGAGACAATTTAAAATATTAATTAATATACAATGTGAAGTTATGTGCCATAAAGACAAAAAAGGGGAAAATATATGATAGGACATTTTTGATAAGTGATCAAAGAAGGTTTCTCTAAGGAGGTGACATTTCTGCACAAAGAACTGAAATAATGAAATGATATATAAAAATATGTGAATTTGGAAGTAATAAATTAAGCAGAGGGGAAAATACCTGCAAAAAGCTTGTGGGAATAATACATCAAGCAGGTTAAAGAAGCAAAAAGGAATACAGTATACATCAAGAATAAATTAACAAGAGGGAAGAACAGAAAATGAGGTAAGAGAAGGAAGCCAGTGTCTGTAAGAGTTAGCAACTTCTGTTTTATCCCAATTGTCATGGAAGCCTTTCTGGGACAGTAGCACTCTGATCTGACACATCTGATTTCACATGGAGAAAGTTTAGAGGAATAAGAGAGAAAGAAGGAAAATAAGCCACTCAAGACTATTGTGGTTTCCTAGATGAGACACGGTAGTTTGGACAAGGGTGTAAGAACTTAATATACAGGAAATGGTGAGATTTGAGAAATTTTGAAGCTGAACTTAATGGAGTTATTAACAGATTAGTTTTTTTGTTTGTTTTTTAAAGTTTTATAATAGTTTATTTTTACATATTTTTGTGCATTTTCCCATCTCAATTGCAATCCCCTTCACAACAGATTAGTTTTAATAGAAAAGTTGAGGATAATCCACCAGTCTTTGTTTTGAAATCTAGTTTGTGGATATAAAAACAGATAAATCTGCTTTCTTTTGGTAATCATTTTCATAACCTATCATTTTTCTTCATTCATTATGAATGAAAATTTTTTTTAAGATTTATTTTTACTTATTTTTGCATACGGGAACTGGGATGCAAGCCAGAGTTTGAGGAGTGACAGAATTCACCAGAGACAGAATGAGGAGCAGAGCAGGTGGATCCACTGAAACACACCGCTGAGGGGAGCAGCAGGCATGTCGGGAGAGGTCTGCTGTGCCACATGGATCAGCATCCTGGCTGGGGATGGAACTCATGCAGCAGTGGCTGGCTATAGTTTGAGAGCTCTGAGACTTAACCCCTGTACCACCAGGGAAGCCCAAGTTCTAAAACCTTTAAGATGCATTTTTAAATAGCATTCAGTTGGGTTTGATTACTTTTCCCAATTTGACAATATTAATCTTAGTTGGAACATTTAACCCATTTATATTTTAGTGCTTTCTTCATCTACTTTTAATTCCTGTAATTTTAACTTTTTAAAAAAATTTTAATATAATGTTTATTTTTACATCATTTTGTACATTTTTTCCTCAATTGTAATTAATTCCTGTAATTTTAACTTTAAAAGATATTTCATAAGCCAGAAGGAGAAAGAAAAATACCGGATGGTTTCACTCATAGCAGGAGTATAATGGACCAGGCAAGAAAATAACAAGAATAATGAACAACCATATACCAGAGACATTTTGTGGGGGTGGAGTGGGGAATGGGGTCAAAAATGGGGGGGTAGGAAAGGAAGTACACAGGATTATGGTGATGGCAAACAGGTGACTAGGTGATGGGAAACCCATGGGGGTTACAATTGAGAAAGAAAAAAAATGTACAAAATGATGTAAAACTGTTATAAAAAAAATAGATGTGATTAAATTCTGTCTTAATTCTAATAAACTTTATAATGTTCATTCATAGGTATAATGGAAAGTTTCATCTTCCTCATTTAGAAATATATCCACAATAAATTTTATTTTTCATGTTTAAAAAAAAAGATATCTCAAAATGCCACTTTTTGTGAAGTCCTTCCCAATATCACACATGACTTTCCACACCAACAATCATATAGGAACTTTCTTTTAAACCTCTATGACAATTTATTAGTGTCTCTCAAAATAATGATCATGTTCTGCTAGTTATTAAAATTATTTGTAAGTGCTTTTTATGCCCCTTATTTAGAATATAAACTTTCCAAAGAACCAGCCATCTTTTTATAGGTCTTAGGCAACTTTCTATCCAAAAGAAGTCTAAATATAGTAATTCATTTGAATTTCATAAATATTTACTGAGTGTTTATTATGTGACAGTAACTGAGGTTGATATTAAATATAGGTCTGTCATATTCACCAGTCTCCTTTCCACATAACTTAGGTCCTCATCTGTTAAATCAAGAATTTAAGTTATCTTAGCTTAAAAAGATAACCCTAATATTCTATTTCAGTTTTCAGATACACAGATACTAAGTACTATTTTACTAGTTACTAAACAGCATGATTATTACATTTAGCTGTCAAATCAACCTGGTATTACATTTCGGAATTTCAGTTTAAATCTCATTCAGAGCTCCTCAGAGATAAATGCATTATCATTCTAGAGTATAGTCAGTTGTTCAAAGCCAAGTAATATCTCCATAAACTCTAAACAACAAGGTATGGAAGGCTTCTATGTTGATGTACATATCAAGTAGCAGGAGGGAAACACCCCAAACTATAAATACAGGGCAGAAGTTCCAGCACTTGAGACTCTCCCAAGACTTGCTTTTCCATCTCTTCCATTTGACTATTCCGGAGTTATATTCTTAGAAAAGGTTAAGTAATATTTTTCCTCAGTTCTGTGAGCCATTATGTTAAAGCAATCACCAAACCTGAAGGTTGGGCTGTGAGAACCCCCAGCCAAATCCTACAGAAGTTGTTGGTAACCTGGAGACCACTACTTGTGACTGTCATCTATCAGAAGTGTTAGTAGGTACAGGGAACGGTCTTCCCTTTAATGCCAAGGTTAGTTAGGTTTTTTAAGCTTCCTGCACCAGCTACTCTAGCTGCAAAGACCAGTGGAAGCCATCTTATGAAGGAACAAGCTATAGAATAAATGTACACAGAAAGTCAGACAGACACTAATCTGAAAAAATTTACTAAATCCTGAGTTACTGATCCTTCAGTTTTCTGATGTACAACTTCTAACTTAAAACTACATGAAAGGCCTGTGCAGTAATGGAATCCATGATTCATGTGAAAATTTTCCCTTATACCCCATCAGTTTGAACTTTTTGGAAAAAAAAAATTAAATATGTAATTTCAAGTCAGTCTGTTTTAACTTTGTTCTAGAAATAAATGTGAGAAACTGCAACATAAACAATTTTTAAAAATTACAAAAACAAGCCCTCCTTGGTGGCACAGTGGGTTAAAACACAGCACTAAGAAGCTTAAGCCACTTCAGCCTGAGTTCCATCCTCACCTTTCCAGAGGTGACCACATGGCGTGGCAGACCTCTCCTGACCCGCCCGCTGCTCCCCTCAGCAGTGTACTTCGTCAATCTGCCTGTTATGCTCCCCACTTTGTCTCTGGTGAATCCTCTCACCCTACGCATCTCTGGCCTGTACCCCAGTTCTGTATAAATAAATAAATAAATAAATCTTTTTAAAAAAAATTACAAAAACAGGGAAAAGATACTTCAATGACCTCAATTTGTGCTACTAGAAATTCAATAAATAGCGCAATGGTGGATATTGATTATGAGGTAGCTTCCAAGCTAAAGAAAAATTTTAAGCCTAACTCTAGGTTTGAAAAAAATAGCCCCAACTGAACAGCTTATAAAAATTTAAATTCTTAACTAAAGAATTTTAAATAGCTTTCTTCTCTATAAGTACAAATTTAATTTGTACCGGAAGCACTGGAAGTTAATTTCAGTGCTTTTGTTTATTCTCATGAAAAATGTTATAAAGAAGTATTTTTCCAATTTGGAGAAAGATACAAGGCAACGTAGGCATTTTTAGATACTCGGTATTAAGCTATACAGCTATAAATATTTACCACTAAAAATTTATCAACATATTTTACTACCTTTGCAACTGAAATTCCATAGTCCTGGAGAGGTTTAGCAGCCTCATTCAGTTCTTCAAGAAATACAGAGGTACTTGGAGAATCTAAAATAAGAAATGTTTTATAAATGTTTTATCATTTACCCTTAGGAAAGATGTATTTTTAAAATTAAAGCCCAAAGCTGCAAATTTAAGAAGACAAGTATACAATAGCATGTAATCAATAACTAAATAAATATATTATTTTATAACCATATTTCCTATTGCATTATTTCTAATGCTTTTATAATGCTATATTTTTACTTAGTGACTTTACAAACTTTCTAAAACAAGAAAACAGTAAATGTTTAATTTAAGTATATTATTTAGCAATATTTTTCCAATTTTGATTCATACATACAACACACATATACATATGTGAAAGTACACAAAGTTTTCAAAATGATTTTAAAATAGCATAAGGAAGTCAACAGAAAAGTGGTTTCACTCCATTGCTATTTCAAGAATAGCATTTTCAAGGCATAAAGAATTAAATGATACCATACTAGTTATTATGTTCACTACTTACACTAGTTAATTTAGTGTAATTAATGGTACAACTAGAGCAGGGTATTAAACTAAAGCACTACTAAGACAACATGACAAAGTCCAAAAATACCCTTAAAATATTTTCATACTAAAAATGTCAAAAAGTATCCTTTCTGAAAAGACTAGATGAAAGTACATGAATATTGAATATATGAACAGCTAATTCTTAACTAGCATTTACTATATATTAGGCACATGAGTAAAATCATTTAATCAGCACAGCAAACTTAAAATCAAATACTATTTTCTCAACATGGATGACAAAAAACACATACTGAGGCCAGGTGACTCAACCAAGGTCACACATCAGGTCAAATGGCAGCTAAGATTCAAACACAGGCAGGCTTATTACAGTAGCAGTTTTACAAACTATTATTAATCCTGACAATAAACTCTCAACAATTATATTAATGAAATAGCAATAGAAGCATCATAAAATCATTTTTAGAATATAAAAAATACTTACTGGCTTGACAGAAATAAACTAAGGAGGCTTTCCCTGCTTGCAACGTACTAAAATATTTCTGAGGACTCAGTTCTGGTAGAGAGTCTACTGCTGACTTACAAAAAATGCATATCACAACAAAGGAGATGCCAACTCTGAAAGCACTGAGGCTGGAAGACATCATCAACTGTAGTCTGATATGTGCAGGCAATTTTGTTTGTATTGTTGACTGCTGTGTTGCTGACTAGGACATTATCTGCAAGGGTAGATGGATGTTGAACAAAGTTTTGCAGAATGAATTTGCCAAATACATGAAGTATTAACTGCAAAAAAACAAAAATAATAATAATAATAAATACAAGGCATGGCTTATATAGCATTTGACTTTCCTCGTACTTTACTGTTTCTTTCTAGTAAAAATGTGAGAGGATGATCTATAATAACACTGATTTGATAATACTGTTGATTTTTGAAGCTGAAATATATCAAAAATATCTGGAAAATGCAACAAGCATCTTAAATAGATATTTACTGTGTAGTATAATAAACTAATTGTCACTTTAAGGATTCTAAAATTCTTAATCGTTACCCACTCCTTTTGTCAAACTGGGTATTTTATCTTTCCCTACCTAGACTGGATTGCAATTAATATTCAAATTGTTACTTAATAACCATTAACAGGGGTGAAACTTTCAAAATGTGTCCACTATATATACATTACTAAAAAATATTCTAGAAAAGTACCTATTTAAACTATAAAAGAGTATTCCTTTTACACAGACACTTTAATGCTTAAAACAATAGCTTTTTTATTTTAAAATTTTTTTGTTTTTGCCAAATTTTATTGCGCAAGACAGATTTATTTGTACAGCTTAGAAATTCAAACATCTTATCACTCATTTTTTCATTCAATTCTATTTTCTGTATTCAGATTTGTTCTAAACATTTCCCTCTCATCTTCTTTCATGCTGCACTTCCCTTCCATGTTATCCTCTGCATCTGCTGGCAATTATCAGTCTTCTATTTTCCTACTTTCAAAAATCTCCTAAACAGATTTTTCTTTTAGAACATCTTTCTACTGTTGATCTATTTTATTTAGTCTAAAATGTGATTGCTTAGGAACACTGACAGAATAAAAAATATAGTTCTAAAAGATAAATACACTACAGGTATAGGTGAGAATCTGTTTTATTTCAAATAGGATTCATATCTTTCAAATAAAAAACCACTAGCTCAAAACTGAGAATGGGGGGGGGAGGGTAAGAAAGAAAAATAGTCATAAAAATAGAGGAAAATTTTTTTCAGTAATGAATAAAGGAGTAATTTAGGGAAAATCGCAATAATTTGGGTATTACTCTAGCCTTTCAATATTATCTATAAGCACATAACACCTCCCTCAAGGAACAGGTACTCCTTTAAAAAAGAAGCTAATCATGCATTAATTACTTCCTAGTAACTCTTATCATTAGAATGTTTATGTCAATGCAAAAAATTTTTCATTAATTATTAATATGAGGCAAGAGTTCAACAACTCAAATTAGCATGTGAAGTGAGAACTGTTAGGTATCATTAAGAAGTAATTTTAGGGGCCCTCCCTGGTGGCGCAACAGGTTAAGCACAGCATTAAGAAGCTTTAACGCCACTTCAGCATATGACTTCCATCCCTGGGAGTGTTGGGTGGGTGGGGATGGTTATCCACATGCGGCAGACCTCTCCTGCTCCCCTCAGCAATGTACTTCGTCAGTCAGCCTGGTCTGCTCCCCACTCTTTCTCTGGTGAATCCTCTCACCACCCCTACACCTCTGGCCTGTACCCCAGTTCTGTATACATAACTTAATAAATATTAAAAAAAAAAGAAGTAATTTTAATGGTATAATTAAGAGGTATCTTTGACTTTAAAACTGACTACATATTATAGCATTTTAAACCAGAGTATTTCAAAGCCTTCATATTAATGGGAAGGGTTTAAAACAGACCACCCAATATTTTCTTTATATTGGGGGAAGAGCAGAATATATCCTGTGGCTAAGGGCTATATTTGGTGGCTAAAGGAATAACAATGCAAAATCTGTTACTATGAAATAACTCTAGCCTAATTAAAAGATAAAGCATTTTAATAAAGCACAATTGAAAGATTCAAGTATTCTAGGCATAAGCTCAAAGGAGATCAAAATGTAAAACACTATTAAAAAAAAAAAGAAAACACAAAGGAATAGAAATATAGTGTATGTTCATGGATTGGAAAAATAAACATTGTTAAACTGGCCATATTACGCAAAGCAGTTTATGGATTCAACACAATATCTATTAAAACACCAATTGCAATTTTCAGGAAGTAGGCCAAACAATTCTAAAAGTTCTATGAAACACAACAGACCTCAGATAACAAAGCAACCCTGACAGAAGAAAAATAAGATATCACAGTCCCTGACCTCAAACTATACTCAAAGAAATAGCAATCAAAATAGTATGGTATGGGAAGAAAAATAGAAACATAGACTAATGGAATAGAACTGAAAGCCCAAACATGAATCCACACAAATATGGACAGTTAATCTGTAACAAAGAAGCTGAGAACATACTATGAAAAAGAAAAAGCTTTCAACACAGTGTAGGGAAGTTTGGATGACAACATGCAAAAAAATTGAAAGTAGATCAATTTAAACTCTATTTAAAAAAAAATAACTCAAGACAGATCAAAGACTTAAGATGTATGGCCTGAAACCATAAAACAGATTTTGGGAACAGAAAAAAAAAAATAGATGATACTCCCCTGGATATCAACCTCGTGATGTATTTGGGTACTCAATTCTAATGGCAAGGGACACAAAAGTAAAAATAAACAGAACTATGTCAAATTAAAAAGAAAAAAAAAACACCACAAAACAAAAAGTCAGCCTAAGGACTAGAAGAAGATAATTGTACATCACAAATCAGCAAGGGATTACTCTCCAAAATATGTAATTCATATAACTCAGCAACAACAACAAAAAACAATCTAATAAAAAAGTGGGCAGAGGGCCCTCCCTGGTGGCGCAGCGGGTTGAAGCACAGCACTGAGAAGCTAAGGCCGCTTCCGCATGAGTTCGATCCCCGCCTGCCCCGGAAGTGACCACATGGCGCGGCAGACCTCTCCTGGCCCGCCCGCTGCTCCCCTCAGCAGTGTGCTTCCTCGGTCTGCCTGTTCTGCTCCCCGCTCTGTCTCTGGTGGAGTCTCACTGTCCCTGGGTCTCTGGCCTGTGCCCCAGTTCTGTATGGATAAATAAATATTTTTAAAAAAAAAAAAAAGTGGGCAGAAGACCTGAATAGACACTTCTCCATACAGATGACCACAGGCACATGAAAATCTCAACATCACTTTATGATAAAAGAAATTCAAGTCAAAACCTCCTTGAGCTATCACTCACATATGTGAGAACGACCTATATCAAAAAGGCTGGAAAGAACTATTGATGGTGCCAATATAAATTGGTGCAGCCTATGTGGTAAATGATATAGGGAATCCTTAAGAAATTAAAAACTTAAATATGAGTATCATACAATTCAGCAGTACAACTCCTAGGTATTTACCCAGAGAAATAAAAATATTTGTAAGAAAAAACTTGTTTGTGTATAGCAACATTATCCACAATAGCCAAGGCATGGAATCAACCTTAATGTCTATCAACAGGCAGCTGGATAAAGAAACTGTGGTTTATATACTCAATATACTCACCTAATTACAGTCTTCTAAATGAATAGCAAATCAATAAAATTTGAATAGAACATAAAAAACTCAAGTATAAACTGTCATTTTTACTGACCTTATGGTTATAATCTAATTATTTCAACACTAAATTGGACATTAGGGTTAACACATGATATTCCTCCTAGAATATATTTGTAGAACCAATAGGCTTACTTTATATTCACTGCTTGACTGCTTTCCCACACCTAACTTATAGGGCAGATTGAGAGTACACATGTGGGAGTTCTGTGTACTTGGTCAGATAGAAATGTTGGTGATTAGTCTTAACACATTTAGAGATAGGAATTCAGTAACCTTCATAACTTCACTGACTATTAACATTTAAAACTATCATCATTTTTAAAAAATTACTTTAAATGGAGAATTATACATAGGTCAACTGGAAACAAAGTATATACAGGCACAGTAAACACTGAAGAATGATTTAACTAAGTCCACGACAACCACAGTTAAAAGGATGGGAAGACAGAAGTAAGAGAGCATGCAGTCAGAGTGGGAAAGGAGATAAAGAGGCCTAATCTTCACCTTTCCCAACACCAAAAGCCAAATTTATTTTGACTTGAAAGATCAATGCCAAAAGAAACAGGGGGGAAATAATTATCTCTAAGGAATAAGAAATTGGAGGGAGGAAAGATAACAAGGGGACTTTTGAATCATCTGACTCTTTAAATAGTGCAATACATTTTCACTTTGATTTAAAAAACATTTATACAAGTTTGTATGTAATCAAATCTTCTATAACTTGTACTCAAATTAACCTAATCTATGTCAGTTGGGCCAAAGGAGTATACCTTTCACAAACAAAAACAATAAAATTCATTTGTTCAGAGAATGTTTTACTTATAAAAAGACCTTTAAACAGAGTGGAAATCTGGAAGAGAAAGATAGAGAAGAGAATAACAGTGAAAAGAAACAAAGGTACATTGTGATTTCTTTTTCTCTAGTGTTCAGAAAATGGAACTGAAAAATCTTCATTCTTCAAAATCTAAATGTCAGAACAAAGTGATGAACACCTTCGAAATGTGAGCTTGTTATTTTGGTGTAATGGTTCACAAGCATAGCTCTAGTCCTCCTGCCTGGTATAAAGCAGGATTACACTTAGTGTTCTACACTTCCCATAATTAGTTGTGGTCACCATCTGACTTATTCTGGCCAATAAAATGTAAGCAAAAGTAACATGTCTCTTTCAGGCAACAGTTTGAATAACTTGTATACAATCGTATACAAACTAGAGTGACACACTACCTATTATATATGACATATATATATCTCACTTTTTTTTATCACAGTAACTAAAGACACTCAAATGGTGTCCCAAAATAAACACAACACAGAAAATCCCCCCGCTCATCAATAAGCATATGGCATAGGAAGAAATAAACCACCAGTTAGCTTAAATCACTGAGACTAAGGGGTTATTATTGCAGTATAATCTAATCTCTATAATGGTATATAAACTAGAGTGAGGCATTGCCTTAATAAGAACCCCAAAATACTGGCTCAGGGGTCAGGCAAAAAAGAAACTTCTGGACCTAGCCAAGGAAACTTGTATCAGAGACTAGAACTCAGTAAGTTATCCACATAAAGGAATAGAAAAACATCTGACAAAACTGTTGCTATAACTTGATGATGACATGTTCCTAGTAAATTTATCAAGAACATGTACTTAGGTTTGTGTACCTATTGAACTGATGACAGCCTGAAGAGAAAATGGAAGGCAGGAGCTGAGAATTGTGGAATCATTGCTATTGGTGTGTTTAACAAGATATTAAAGGAAAGATACTCAAAAGAAGAACCATCATCCAAGTGTCTGGCTATTCAAAACTTAAAATAACCCTTAAGTTTCTACCCTTCTTTGATTAGGAAGCCAATTTCAAAACTGCTCAACCATGGAAAGAAGTCACATTCTCCAAAGCCAGCTTAGATATGGTCAGGGATAATAAAAATGGAAGGAACTCTTTCAGGGCAAAGCTAGGGACCATGGAGAACTATGCTCTAGGCCATGTGCCAGAATATGAGCTGTTTGTTACTAGTCTTCTGTAATGAAATAAATGCAGATATTCAGTATAAATGTTTAGAGGATTTAAAGTCATTTTTTGTCTCATGGATTGAATAACTTCAAATTGGCCTTATACTTTGACATGTTTTTCATTTAATTTTCCTCATTCAATTTTATCACCTTGAACCAAAATTCAAAGTAACCTGGAATAAAAGGAAAACAAATGGTCATTAGAAATGACCACTTTTAACATATAGTTTGAAAGCACTTACCTAGAGAACCTCAGGAAAAAGAATAAAGTCACGGCAACATCTGCTCAATAAGATTTCAAAATAGCTGAAGTCTCGAATCTGGTATATGTCTTCCATTCTTCCCTTCTCCAAATGGAAACACTTATAGTTCTCTGTCCCAGCACTACCCTCTGTATTCATCAAGGAGATGGGTAACTTACCATGTCCACAATGGTAGATATTACCATTACTGGGCATTACTCAGACAACCTGAACTTTGGACTTAACTGAACTGGATGGGATTTGAGGATTATCTGCACTGGGAGGGGCCAAGGATACACAACAAGAATTTATTGGCAAGGATAGCTTGTCCAAGTATTTCTATATTTTTTTAAAGATTTATTTATTTATGCACACAAAAACTGAGGTAGAGGGCAGAGGTGTGGGGGGCATGAGGATCCACCAGAGACAAAGTGGGGAGCAGAACAGGCAGATCTACAGAAATACACTGATGAGGGGAGAAGCGGGAGGGTCAAGAGGGGTCTGCCATGAGGGTCACCTCCTTGGCCAGGCGTTGCTCCTGCTACAGTGGCTGTGGATAGTTTCATAGTCCCTGTTGCACCACCAGGGAGAGCCCCATCCAAGTGTTTCTAGTTCTCAAAACATCTGAATTATACTTTTCCACTCAAGTTATGTGTGACCATGACTTGGTTTGGTCAATGAAAAGTGGAAAGTGGCATATGTTACTTCTGGAAGATTTTAAGGGTCAAAAATCGGTGTCATAATCATGACACACTTTGTTACGAAGGCTGGTGACACTCAACATGAATTCACCTCTGTCCAGTCAAGTCTCAACAAGAGAACAACATGGGGCAACGCTCCCACCTGACCTAGGGTGCGCATGAATCTAATGTTGTTAAATCCAATTTGAGGTGTTATTATAGTACAGCCCAGTCTACCTCTACTGGTTTTAGTAACAACTGAGGGACAGTGCCTTCAACATGAATTCATATCCTAGATTTTAGAGCAGTCTATTTCAAAGAACTCAAAGGAATTGACCCAGTTTCACTGCAGGAAGATTCAAAAAGGGAAGCTAACTCCTTAAAATGAAACTGACTATTACCAGAACAGGAGCCAATAAAAAAAAAAAGCGGGAAATCATAGAAAAATGTTTGCTAAAACTGTACTACATACATACATACACTTCCCAATCTGTGCAAACTCTTACTCTTTGTGCCTGAAAGCTGTGTCCAGTTCCTCAGTACAATGCTCCTGTCAGCACTAATCAGAATTGGAAAGTAAAATGCAATTTTTACCTCACCCAAAAACTCTGAACAAATACGCACACACAAGTCACTTAAAAGTTGGGGGTGGGGCAAGTATGACATTTAACAAAGGATAAATATAAGAGGATGATGAACACTGTGAGAAAGCATCAGTGAGGCTATACCAAAAGTTTGTTTTGTTCGGTATCTGAAAAAGAAGCCATAAGGCAATGAAGAGGAAATACTTCATGGGAAAAATTTCATCTCCAGAGTGGAAAGAGGTGGAGGCAAGGATGGAAGGACTTCGTGTGTGCCTGCGGCCTGAGCAGCAGCTAACGGCACACTTCATTTTGGAACTAGATACTTCATGTAATATTTTAAACAGTTCTGCTTTTAAATGTTTTAAAGACTTTTTTTTTTAATGAAGCATTCAATCTCTGTGCATGTGGATTTTTAGAAATGCTAGCAGTGAGTTTTTCCGTAAAACTCTTGGTTAGTTTCCCTTTTATAGAAAGAAATTTTCCTTAGGATTAATTTATAACACTGATGGTTTTCCCTCTCAAGAAAAAGGGGTATTTCTCTCACAAAAATAGTTACAACTATAGCCATTAAACAAATTATACCAAGATCTGTGGTATCAGTTCTCTGTAAAAGATTCATTTTATATTTTGTAACAAGTGGGATATATAATGCTTACCAAATTCCTGTAAGAACAGTCTGTAAAAATAAAAATAGCTTATTTGTGGCTTAAAGTGGCTACTGGAGAACAGAACTTGCCACATTACCCAAAGGAGTCAACCTCTCCACTAAGTAGGTAGGGCAAAAAGAAAGAGAAAGAGGAGGCTATCTGGATTTGCTCAGTCACTGTGATTTAAAAAAAAAAAATCTCCCAAGCAAAACTAAAATTACTATGAGTACTATAAAAATAATGTTTATATCCTGTCTGGAAGTTCCTCAAACTGCTAAACATGGAGCTTCCCTATGACCCAGCAATCCCACTCCTAGGTATCTACCCAAAAGACACAAAAACACTGATTGAAAAAGATACTTGTACCCCCATGTTTATTGCTGCTTTATTTACAATTGGAAAAACATGGAAGCAGCCCAAATGCCCAAAAGCAGATGACTGGATTAGAAAGATGTGGTACATATATACAATGGAATATTACTCAGCAACCAAAAAAGAGAAACACATGTCTTTTGCAGCAACTTGGATGGAGCTGGAAAAGATCATGCTTAGTGAGATAAGCCAGAAAGAGAAAGAAAAATACCGGATGGTTTCACTCATAGCAGGAGTATAATGGACCAGGCGAGAAAATAACAAAAATAATGAACAACCATATACCAGAGACATTCTGTGGGGGCGGAGTGGGGAATGGGATCAAAAAGGGGGGGGAAGGAGGGAAATGCACGGGACTATGGTGGTGGCACAGGGGTAATTTGGTGATGGGAAGCCCGCGGGGATTACAATCGAGATGGAAAAAAATGTGCAAAATGATGTAAAAATAAACTTTGTAATAAAAAAAATAATGTTTATATCACTTTAAGTAGAGAATATAGGAGAAAAGCAAAGAATTTTCATGGTGAAAGTTTATTGGTGACCTGAAACTTGTACTTACTCAGTTATGGATGATACAAAAATAGTCATGCCAGAGAACAAGAAGTGCCTCTGATTTTAACGAGGTCCTAAAATCAGATAATTCTGAGTTCACAATTAATATATATACCTATACTTAAGCACATAACTACAATCAGTTAACTTACTTCTTCATGAGTTTCTATCTCCTTTCAAACAGAACTGTGTACGGTCCTAGCCACATTCTCTTCAAACAGAACTGTGTACGGTCCTAGCCACATTCTCTAAAATCTATAATGCAAAGTCCTTAAATTCCAGTAAGCCCACAATCTTTCAGTGAAGTGTTGCTGTGGTATTAAGCTTGTTAACTTTTTACAGGAAGTTGTACAGCCTACTGTAAGCTGTACTCACAACCTCCTCAGCTAAATGTTTCATCTGACAGTAACCACACAACAGTTCCAGGCCTAAACACCTATCACAGTCAGTACAACTGTAAAGAATCCAGAATACAACAGTATCTGGTGCCTACGTTAACCACATTCTGTTCCAGACACTGCCATACAAGAGAGACTTTAAAGTTCATTTTGGATTATTTAACTAGGAAAAAGGAATCAATCCTTGGGCAAAGCTTTATTAGTATAAAAGATGGCGAGCTATTCATTTTACATAACTTTGCCCATTTTATTACCAAAAGGGGGGGGGCAACAATACAATACGTTAATACACCAATTGATGCTATCTCTCTGAGCCCCAGGAATACTGCCATCATCTACCACATACATATGGAGAAATAAATACTTGTGTAATTTAAGGAGCACGGACTATTCTACTTCTTCCTCTCTGGACAATCATCATGAGTCACAGTCCTGTTTCTGCCTTTCTGCTTAAACTTATGCCCAGAGCATAAGTTTCTTAGTTTCAAAGACCCACCTATCCCCTACTCACAGAATACTTAGACGTCCATAGCATCCCTACACCACACTTAAGATACATTTCCTGAGGGATTGCAGGGTCTTTTACTTACGGCATGGGCTTACCTTTCTCATTTCACCCCTTCTCCCTATAAAGGTTCACGTTTTTCTCGCTACTCACGCCGGAGGGTATGGGAGGGGAGGTAGAGAAGAAAGTAAAATGTCCCTCAAAGGGATTCAGAAGAGGTCCTTTTTAAGACAAACTCCAGAGCTGGGGATAGAGCCATAGCTATAGCAGAACCTCCGAATTCAAACACCCATCCTGCAGACGAAACCATTAACGCTCTCCCGGCCGCCCCACAAGGACCAGCGCAGTCACCTACCTGCCTGAGACCTTCAGGCAAGACCTGCAGGCGAGGACCCGCAAGGGGCGGGCGCGCGGCCAACAGCGCCCTCCACGTGAGAGAGGGAAAAGGCGGCTCTGTGCCCTGCTCGCCCAGCCGCCGCAAACCTCCACGCCTACCTGCCCGGCCCGGCACCCCGGGCCTCTGAGCCTGCGACAGTCACCCGCTCAGAGACAGGTTCCTATGCAAAAAAAAAAAAAAAAAAAAAAAAAAAAAACACAATCCCTTAGGCTCCTCCCGCTCCTCGTGCTCCTTACGTAAGCCCTCGCCAGCCAATGGGAAGCGCAGGGGGCGGAGCGAGAGCCTCCCCAGGTGACAAGCGACAAACGAGTCCTCCCGCCGGCGCGAGCGGGCTGTACAGTCGCTGGGCCAATCGGCAGTGTGGGTAGGCAGTGAAGGGGAGGGAGAAAGCGGGGAAAGCGAAGGCCCAATCAGCTCTCCAAGCCCTCGAGCGACTGGTCCTGCAGCCCGTGGCCTTCCGAGTGCGGCGCGCGGGGGGCGTGCCCGCCTGGGCCAATCGGCTCGAGCCCACCGTGCGGAGCGAGCGCCTCAAATGCTCGGGTTTCTCAGCTGATTGTCTCCAGCGAAGAGTTGTTTTTTGCAGCTACTGAGCGGAGCCGCAGCAGGAGGAGCCGAGACCCCCGGGGGGGCGGGGAGAAGAGGCGGGGTCCGGGGAGCCGCGGCTGCTCGGCGCGGGGCTCCGGGTCCTGTCACGGCACTTCCTGGGGTTGGAAGCTGGGGTGGGTGGGGGGTTAGGGGGAAATCTTTCTCCCCCTCGACGGCGGCTCCGAGTCCGGCCCCTCGCTTCCCGCGCTCGTGCGCCCGCCCCCGAGCCTTATGAGGGTGCCTGTGCCGGGTCCGGCGGCCACCGCCGCCCCCGC